ACTGTTAAAAAAATTTTATCATATTTAATGTTGAAATGTTGTTATTACTTATGAAAAAAATTTAAATTCTCTTAACTCTCTTCATTTCTTTTTTTTTTGATAATTTGACATTGATTAAAATGTTTCTAACATATTTCATAAATCAAATATAATTTTTTTTATCTAACACCTTGTTTTGACTAAAAATTAAAAAAAAATTCTTTGAAACCGATGTTTATAAATTTCAAATTCTTGAATTTATTGGTATCTAAATCCTGAATTAATCTAATTAAAAATTATTTCAAACCTTTATGATCATTTCTATTGTTTTAATTTCATCCAAAAAACTAAAATCAAATTCCCCAAATAGTCACTCATCCTAAACATATCAAAACTATTGTTTGATATCTTGAAAGTATGGAGAAGGCAAAATCAAGAGCACAATAGATGGACGCCGAAAAGATAAATCAATAAAATTAGAAAAAATTGAATGGTGAGAGAGAGATTCGAAGCATTAAATAAGATGGAGAGAAAATTATAATGAATGTTTAATTTATTTAAATAGTTTAAATATTTATTAAATTTATGACTAAATATAGAATAAATTAGTTAAATTTATTTTAATAGTTATTTCTGAAATCCCTTATCAGGAAAATTATTCTTCACAATTTCTCTTTATTTTATTTACCAATTATCTTAACTCTTAATTACAAATAATGTCCCGTTGCAGGTACAACGGTACAACACTTATTATTGAATCTCATCAAAATATCAAGTGACTCCAAGTTCAACTCTTAGAAGTGAACTTGGGGAAAACACCAAAAGAGTTGCCATGACCAATATGCCACTTATTTAGTTTCCTCCCAAGGAAGCTTTGGGCTAAGGTACCTTCCAACCACCGCAGCATCCGTTATCTTCAAAGCTTCCTGAGATTTGATGCACCGGGGTGTCTTGTATTGGCTCACAGAAGTTCCTTTTGCTGCGAACAAGTCCATTAGAACATCAAATGTTCCATGTTTTACTACCCTTATCTCTAATGGCCCTATCGTCTTGTCCTTCCTCAGAACTCTATACGTATAATCTAGTGATTCTTCGGCAATGTAGCTGCATTCCTCTGTTATCTTAGGATTAGTCTCCGGAAGATCATGGCTTCCTTTCATTTTAAGCTCCCAGAATAATACGTAGTGCCCTGGTGTAGAACAAGTATCAGCATATATAGCTAGTGTAGTCGGTCAGAATCAAGCCGAGTGGCTCAATCAGGAGCTTTGCCTGTGTCACTGCTTTCAACAGACCATCTTCCCTTGTACTCTCCACATCAATTCTGAAAAGGACACCTTGCCTTCTCATAAAACGAAATTGAGGAGCATCGTTGTGAAAACCAGTTACCTTGAGAATATGTCCAATTTTGTATCTATATATAGGCCTGAAAAGTTTTCAAATAGTTATGGGAAATAAAATCATAATATTTTGGAGCAAAAGCCTCATGACTTTAAGGAGAAAAAATAACAACAAAAAGAGGAATTTGCTTTTATTGTACAGTAACAGGTGGCCAAATTAATAATCTTTCTTCATTCCGTGTGCTCTTTCGGGACTAAAAGTGAAAGCTGCAAAGTTTAATTGGCATACCAGAATATCACAAGGGCAGTGAAGAGCTCACCTGTAAAAGTAGTGACCATAATTTCATAACATTGACCTTCACGTCCACCAGCTCAACAGGTTCAATTTCTTCCTTTTTGTCCTGCGTTTCTACGCAATCCTGATCATAGACGCCTCCGAAATGCTGAGGCTGCTCAGCCAATTCTGTATGGTGTTCCTTGATCGGAATGAATTCATAGAATGACATATTAGGAAGAAGAGTGTATGAGATATTGGAGGGCTTGTTCAGTGGTTCAAGATTGATACCAGGGTCACCTTCAGAAGCAGCATAATTAATATGATGAAACTAAAGGGAGCCCACAACAATAAAATTCAAGTGTTGGAATACATTACATCTACGAACTTTGTTCTAGACCAAAGTTCTTTAACTATCCCTTCCCATGATTTTTCACTACATGTGTCTTCTATTGAATCTTCCAGTTGTGGATTTGGTTTGTTGAGAGTTAGCGACAGAGCGTTTCTGCAGCCAAGGTCGGTGATCCAATCGCTAAGTTGGCCTGTTCTTATATTAGTACATAGCTCTCTCCAGTGATCTTTTAAAAACTTGATAGCTCGAACGAGAACATAAGGATAACTGGCACCAACCTTTAAGATCTCATCCCTCTGTAATAATCCACAAAGCAATTGGCAGTGCATGCTTTGGTTGATGTCTAAGCACAAGATTGTCGCATTAGGACTAGTATAAAGACTGGACGTCAGGCTTTCGAAGTAACTGTTCTCCAAGCAGCTAGTTAGAATAGTTCTTGCCCTCAAACCAGATGGAGTTTTAATGTCTGGAACGACCAAGAACAAGTACATTCCTTTTCCTCGTTCTAAGCCATCCACAAATCTGGAATATTGGTAAGCACAGACGAGTATTTATCAACCTAGATTGATCTTTATTAAAAGTATTACTCATTTTATTAGAAGTTGTTTCAACCAAAAACAATGAAATTGAAGCTTATCAACGTACATGCTTATCACAGACCAAGGAAGAGTAGTTCTAATGATTGTTCTTTTATCCAATTCTTTAGCTGTCATAGGCATAATCTTAATTCTTTCCACCCGAGCTGCCAGAGCTGGATCAAAGGCAGGGCAGTAGAATTACGTTGATGAACAATTTTGTATAGCAATTCAAGACAATAATCAAAAACCAAAAACCTAATGGAATTTGCTACTAACAAGTTAAACTCTTCATTATGGGGTCAAGGTCAAATGTTCAAACCTTTGTAATGATTAGGCACAACAAGAATTGTCAAGTACAATTCAAACAATAAAATAAAATCAGTGACTTGAATAAGATCCGATGAAATTTATGATTTGAGCTCGAAACCGACTTGACCTGATCAAACTATTTATAATTTATAGGAAAGATTACATGTCAAAATCTTCAAATGTATCTGAAACAAAAAGTGATAATAGTGATACTAATAAATGTAAAGGTGCTTGACAATAATGAAGTGTCCACTTGCCAGCCAACAAATTCATATTAAAGTAATTGTGCAAGATATAAAAGAATAGTGAATTATTATAATTTTTATATCATCACATGCTTATACAATTTAAAAAATTATTAAGAAAAATAAATTTAATTAGCTAGCATGTGACAATGGATAAGTTTTTAAGCATAAAGGATTATCAAAATGTGTATCATGTGATTCTAGAGACCTAAAAAATAATTTATTGATTCTTATAAAGTTAATTAGTCGTTAT